GATGGACCAAACAGGTTTATGAAGTCTTAATCTATATTAAGACTTCATAAAACATTTTTGAAACAATAATAAAACTGTAATTGGTTAAGAAATGATTTGTAGAAGCTAGTTTTCTCGGTGAACTGAATGCCTGGCCTGCTGTATTTCCTGTTGCAGGAATGGTGAGAACCTCGGAGAGATTTGAACGACTGCCCACACTATTACCAGCGTAGCGCTCATTCAGCCTGGTGCTACATCCAAAAGGCCCAAGGTCTGTAATGGATTCTAATGTTCGTCTTTAATCACCGCTCAGACCTGTTAGCAGCCAAGAATCAGACAACTGTAAATACTTTTGATGCAGTTTGGGAGGCAGTTAGGAACTGTTCATTCAGGCTATCCATCCTTTTTATTTTTATCATGCCCCTTTAATCTGTTTACACAGCCCTCTTTGTTTCAGCAGAACTTTAAGTGTTGCTAGTCATATTAAAGTTCCTGTAACAGTATAATTAAAAACAAAAAAAGACAGGTAATATCTGTGCACAACATGTAAATATAATCCACAATGGGTGTTCTTCCTCGCTCCCACCCTCCTCCTCCTCCTCGACTGGTTTTACTGTGGGAGGGGTGTTCAAAGCAGTCGCTCTGGTGCGTATTTAAATGAGCGCTGCGTCTCCCGCCTGTGCTCCTGTTGTGATCACCACTTTGATCACCTCCAATGTAACTCTCGCCGAAAACATTTAAAATTAAAATGGAATCTGCCCTAACAACCTGAGCATTGGAAATTTAACAGGTGTTCGCAGGGAAGTTGTGAAAGAATCTGCGATTATGTGCTCGGATAGACGCACCTTTAGTGAGACGGGCGCCCGTGCGGACCAGGCCGGCATGCATACAATCTGTCAGTGAAATTACAGGAAGGAAAACAGAAAGCCTTCCCGACTCAGAGCTTTACCTTGGCATACCTGATGCGTTTGCTTTGATATAAGAAAAAAAAAAATCTAAATCAGGCTGACAGCATGTCTAAACTGTTACTAACTCACAATTACAAACTTTATATTTATAATAACTAACGTATTACAAAGATTAGCTTTGTAGCCCTAGCAACAAAAATATAGAGAAGAAAATTGTTACCTACTGAAGACCAGATAAGAGGTCGGCTGGTGATTCATTTTAAATTACACCACTGTGTGTAAAAGGTGGCAAACTCAAACAGTCTGTTACAAGATTCAAGCCTCGTCAACTTGTCATGCTACAACCACAGACTTATTTGAAGGAGTATTATTATGTGTTTTCCAGGCACATAGTGCCATTTTCTAGCACAATCAGGTACCTTTGTAATTTAATGCCTTGAAATTTGGCCCCGCTCTTTAAAAACTCCTGCTTTTTCTGAAACGCCACCATCACAAAGTCATCACAATATGGCTCCTCTATTAACCCTTTAGCAACCAGCATTGGGCTGAGAAGTAGCTCCTATAAGGAGCTCAGCAGATGCTCAGTTCCACCAGGTGTTCACTAATTGGTGCTGGCTAGTCTGAAGGAGCCGAGTGGCAGAGGTCTGCTCTGTGAGGCAGAAAACCTGCAGCGCAGAGGTGGAGCTGTGCCTCAAAAGCGGAGCAAAGTCCAACCAGGCATTTGGCACAGCTGGATGGTTGCCATGGAGATTAAATGATTTCTCAAACATGCATGAAAGAATCAAGCCAGCACTCCAGGATTTTGGATGGATTTTGATGGATGGAAGAGATGGTTAAGCTTCCTCCTTCTCTCACTGCTCTGCATCCATGAAGCCTCCTTTTCAACTCCTCTGGCATTTGGGGTCATAGTTCAGGTATTAGTCGAGTCTTTGAGATGCCAATCACAGCATGATGCTCCCACCACCATGCATCACTGTGGTGTGAACACCCTATTTATGCTCAGTGCCATTTAGATGTCTTCTAAAGGCTGCCGGTTGCACCAATCGCGACTGCTTTTGTGATTTTATTTTTGAAGTGAAAATGACTGATTTTGTGATGCTACTTCAGAAATATTTGCAAGGAGTTTTGCAATATGTTTTTCCTATACTCAAATATAACAGAAAAAACATGAGGAAATAACAAGCAGAAAGACTGGGCACAAGCATTTTCATTCTTTAAAGAACTTGTGCTTTTTGTTCCTTGCCTTATCTATCGCAGAGTATAACTGAATGTCAAGAGAGGCTGAGGCAGCAGTACAGTAAAAGTAAGAAATACTGCCACCTGCAGATGGGAATTAGAATCACTTAAACCAAGTGATGAAGTGATTCAAACGTAAAATGTGAAAAAATGTGTTGATCTGTTGAGATTCCGTGATCACAGAATCTGGGATTGACTAGACTTTATTTAGGGGTATCAGAGTAAAGGTGCTAATTAGACTGAATTAGCTCCACTGGAAACTCGTTGTATTAGCATACATGTATGCCCAAGCTTACCCACCATTCATACACACATCCACACACAGAGCACTATCTGCATCTCCTCCTCTAAATGTACTGTAGTATTAATTACTGAGGGAACGCTGCAGAACTGTATTTAATTACTGACTAAATGAACCATTTAGACTTTACTGCTGGTTTAATTAACCGGGTTAAGTGAGATACGGTGATTGTAACTCACTTAACATTTGAGCTGATATCTTTTGACTTCCACAGTCTGGGGGCAGCAATTTCAGGAAATATCAACCGATGATCAAATTAAATAATTACTGTCTGTGGAGGGAGAGATATTGCACAACTCCTGGAAAATGTTATCTTAAGCTGAGATAGGTTCAAACTGAATCAAGTTAGAGCAGATTAGGAGACAACCTCTGCAAACTGCAGCCTTCAGTAAGCTACGTCTGTGGTCTTTACCCTAACCCTGTTTATACTTCTGAAAATTATGTAAAAAAAATAAGTAAAATAATCAGAATTGTGCTCTGTTGTCACTGGTAGCAATGTTTAAATGTTGCAGGGGTTTTTTAAGATTCTTGATTTCGACTTGAGTTTTTTCTGCTTGCATCCTCTCTCTTTTATGCAATAAATTACTGTTAGCTAGCAGGATGCACATATGTGATGTGGGAAATCTCGTGCAAAATTTGTACCACATTTAGAATAATCATGGGCTAGTTTTCATATTCAGATCATTCAGTTTTGGTCTGCATAAAGCTGAACTGCAATGCTTTGGTCTGAATTCCTAATTTTTGTAGCTCTACGGGTCCCTTTTCTACCCTGATCTGAGGTGTGTCGTTTTGGTGTCGTCTCTTTAAATGCAAATGAGGCACTACAAGCCCCGCCTCCTCCTGGTCAAAGAGCGTCACACTCCACCCTATTCAGCCATTTTTGTAGTGACGGCACAGAAACAGTTTATTGCCAGATTGATTTATTCTGATTCTAACCCAACATTTTTCAGTTTATTGCATTTGTCTCTGTAGGTTTACCTCATACTGTTAGATGTTGTTATTTGACTCATTATTGTGCTGGATTTGTTTTCAGCCTGCTCAGCTGGTTGATCATTTTGAAGGCTGCAGCACACTGCCATCAACATCTCTTCTTTTCCTTTTACAGTTTCTGGAGCTCATCTTCCAAACCCTCTCTCTCTTCTCCATGCATGGAGAAATGCCCAGAAATTATGAGACTGTCTTACAGCAACAGTCTTCAGTCAGAGGACCCTTCAGATTTGTTGCAAGACTGACTGCAACTGGAAATCCTTCCTGCCCACAGCATCATCATCTAGACACGTCATGATAACAAATTTTTGCAGCACAAATTGTCCCAGAAATTACTCTGATAAACAATAATGTTTTTAGAATCTTTTCAAGTAATATAATGATGATATCATAAGATTGCAATTATGCCTCTTAAATATCAATAAAGTTTAATTTTGTAATGAAAATTTAACAGTGGAAGATATTTTAAATATCCAAAATAAATAAAATGACCAAAAAACACCGAAACCATAAATGAAATGGATTTAGTCTCTGTAGACAAAATTGTCCTTCAAAAAATATCATCAGAATGGAAGAGATCAAAGTAATTTTAATTCATCATGCGATTGATTTATTGATTTATTGTGACAGACTAACCGCCATCCACAGTGACCCTAAAAGATGTTTGAATGATATGAGAGGGAAGTAAAGTAATTCTGATCTGACATTAGTAATCTTGATTCCTCCCAAGCTGGAGTCTTTGTTGAGCTGAAACTTTAGCCAAACGATAAAAAACCCTCCCAAACTGTCAAAGTGTAACAGCAGTGTTGCTAAAGCAGGTGCGCCGATCACCATATCATTAAACGCTATTAAAGGTCTCTATCGCCTCAGGGTGACTGTTCAAAGGTGCTGAACTGAAGTCAAACTCCCGCTGACTGACAGATGTAGAATTGTAACTCTAACATCATCTTCAAGAACATTACTGGCCTCCAATTAAATCACCTCTCTCCACCTCTTTTCTGCACGTCGTTTCTGACCAGAGCATGTTAAAAGGACTTAAAGTTACTTGGGTGGTTTGAGATAAAGAGGATTGATAAAGTAGGTAAATCAGAGAGTCGGTGTGTGTTTGGGTCTGAGAGGGAGAGAGGATCAGATAACTGACATAAAAGAGAGCGGTGCAAAGGGAGACGGAGAGATCAAGGGTGAGCCAGTGTAATATCAAAAGATGATTCTGAGTCATGGACCACCACTACAGGCCATGCTGGGTGGGTCGGTTCTTACAGTACACGCTAATCCACCTTATACCTGATTCAGACATCAGTAACCTGGCTGATCTGACAGTTACAATAAAATCTAGATTCCCAAACATTTAGCCGGGGACCCCCTTTGCAAAGTATATACATATAAATAAGTAAAAAAACATCAACCTTTCAAATATTTTGCTCGTTTAGCATAAATCCTGCTTCATACCTTCTTAATTTAGTCACCTGTCTCATTTTTGGATGGTTCCAAAACCGATCTGATAAATGCCCACCCTGTGTGTAGCTGATCACATCACAGTGCGGATGGTGTCTGTGTGGGAGACAATAAGCAGTCAGCTGGGAGTTTACCTTGAGGTTGGTTTGTTTGTTTGGTGAGAGAGCTGCAGGCTGCGTGTGCTGCTGCTGCTGCAGCAGCTGGATTTGTTCCTGTTGTTTCTGCAGCTGAGCCTGCAGTTCGGAGATCTGCTCGTCTTTCTGGACCACCTGCGTGCTGAGCTCCTGGTGACTCTGCCGCAGCTTAGCCTCGCTGGACACCAGGGCCTGGTAGCACTGACTCAGCTCTTTGTACAGCTGGCAGCAAACAGGAGATGACGGACCGTCAGTGATCACGTTACATAAAAGATGACACTTATTATGGGCCATGTTGTATTTTACTGCTGGTACTAACTGATGCATGAGGTAAAATCTGGAGAATCGAGTATTAAAACGGATAAAACAGAGAAAGATCAAGCTAAACGGTGTCCTAGTGATGCAGGCAGCAGGAACTGGGCTGTTAAATAGAGAAACCAGTCTTAAACCAGTCACAGTAACCAATCTTCCTGGAACATTTAACACTGAAACTGGAAGACATTTTAAATATCCAAACAAACAAAACAACAGAAACAACAACTAAAATGAACTATGAAGTCTCTGCAAACAAAATAGTCGTTCATAAAAAGAGTTAACTGAGACCAAAGAGCCAGACTGAAGACTTTAGTAATCTAGGAAAAAAGAGAGAAAAGAGAGAAATGATACATCAAGTGGAAATTATTGAGCTTGTTTTAATTTATTATGATTAACTGATTTATTGCTCATTGCGACAAGCCTATCCAGGACACGAGAATCCTAAGAGCTGAAACAAAATGTTCTGATCCCGGCTTAATGGGGCCATATTGTACATTTTGTCCAGTTGGTACTGTTGAAACTTTATAGCTCCCTTTGTGGGATTTTCATGAAGTATTTTAGAAGAGTTACATAAAATATCTAAGTTGAAAAATATTAACTATCCTATTGATCCAAGGTTGTGTCAAGGGTGTCTTCTGTTAAATGACTGCAGCGATGCAGTGATAAGGTTTCTGCCGTGCTTTACTAAGGCATGTAAAACATGTTATTTGAACGGAGGTATTATTCCTACAGAGTGCTGCTGCTAGAGGCACTGCATGGTGAAATATGCAGCTTCGATTCTCTGTGGAGATAAATGAGAGCTGGAGGACGGTTTCATTGTAAGGAAAAATCTCTGAGAAGAAGAAACATGATGATGTCATGAGATGGTCTCCAACCTTTGGACATTCACAAAAAACACATTTAAATTTCTGCATCACAAGAACTCCTTACAACAAAACCAAGACAATGAGAACTGAAAACGGGCTCATGGTTCAGCACAGCCATCCTGAACGTCCGGAAAATTTATGATCAGGATATTTAAGAACAAACTGTATTAAATCGTATTCAGATGTAATTAGAGGTTCCACAGAAAGTCAGAGGAGAGCGAATACCCCTTGGTAGGAAGTGGCGTCGGCCGTGTGCGCCTCCTCCTGGTTCCTCAGGACCCTCTGGGTGTCCAGGTTGAGTCCCTCCAGCTGCTTGATCAGGTGGCTCTGTTCGGCTGCGTGCTCCGTGCTTTGCTTGTACAAACCCTGGACTTCAGCGAAATCACGCCTGCAGACACAAACACAAAGTGACACACAGTCAAACTGGATCACTAATGTTACCTCTGCTGCTTTATGCAGGAATTACAGGTCAAGGTTTACAACTTAATGCAGAAATTCCCAAACTTTAATCAGGCCATGGCTCCCAAAGGGCATCAGCCTGCAGACAATGCTATGAAAAATGTAGAGACATTAAATTTGACTTTTTCCTTCTCACTTTTACTTACTATTAAATAATTATTACATTTAATTAGCATAAATGTTGCCTCATCCCTTCTGATTTTAGTTGGCGAGGAGTTCTGTAGCGGAACATTTTTATCAGGAAATAATCTGATGTTGAATAAATTATCAGATAAACTTTATGTAAATATGTAATATTTGTATAGTAATCCCATCAAATTTGATTTAATCTCCACAGTTTAGTTTTTTGCAGCAGGAAATATCTGTCTTTTTCTTGTCAGAAATTGTTCCATTTCTAGATTCAGGAGCAAAAAAACTTGATAATTTTAACTGGCAGTCAATGAGAAAGAAAAACATCGCAAGTCACGTTTTCCTGAATTTCCCCTCTTTGGGACAATAAAGGCTATTTCTATCTTCTATTTCCATATCCAATCAATTATTTTAACTTATATTTTAATAAAATTGCATTCATAAAACATTTAAATGTGTGATTTTTTTCATCTTCTCTCCAACTCTTTGAGGCCCCTTTTTGAAAAACACTGACTAAATGTATAAAAACCGTCTTAATGAGTTAAACGTTTATTGAAACTTAACGTTGGTTTCTTGCTTATTGATTTAAAACATAATTCAGAGTAAAAGACAAATTTGATAACATATCTGAATATGTTTTCACAGCAGTCCTTCAGCTTCCTAACGCAGCAACGCTGATGAGCTGTGAATCATTCTGGATACTAATGAGGTCAGCAGAAGACCTCATGCAAACATCAGAATGTGACTGACATGTCAGGGTGCCTCTGGCATTAAAACTGAGAAGCAGTAAAAAGAAAAAAACACAGAGATTACCATTAAAGCTCCTACAGTTCTGTCAGTTTCTATAATATCGACTAAAGCTTAGTGAAAGCCTGCCCTGTTTCCCTTCTTCCCTGCTTTAAAGCACATCCACTATGCAGGGCTTATCAAATGGCTTTAGGTGAGCCGGAGATGAAGGAATGTGTGTCACCCCAAACCTCACAGCATATATGCTCCATTTACACTACGCCTCCTTCACCTGATAAAATTACCCATCAGGCTACCTCTAGTGGCACCTTGGTTCACAACATCAGACGGGGTTTTTTCAGCTGATTTCAACTCACTGTATTTGTTCAAGTCGATCTTGTTTTGCAGCTAACTCCGTCTCTTTGGAAGAAAGCTTTGCAGCCAAAACGGCGCTGTGCGCCTTCAGTTTAGGAAGCTCCTGACAAACACGCTGCAGCTCCTTCTCCAGAGCCTGGTGGAGGAGAGCAAAATGCATTTTGAAAACTTTTTCCAACTTAGAAACCTGATATTTATAAGCACAATAATTTATGTTACATAATCTATCCATAATTAGGGCTTCTTCAAGTTCAGTACATTTTTTAAAGTCTTTTATTGAACAATATAATGGCTGAACAAAGGGGGAAAAGCCTAAAAAAAGACATAGAAATAAAGGGGGAAAAAGTTTAAAAGAAAAAAATAAGAGAAGAAAAAAATGGAAAATGAAAAACAGGATTCAAGGTCAAAAACTGAAGCGTTTCGTTTGATTTAATTTCAGACAGTGCAGAAAAAACTAAATGTGTCACTTTATACATTGATAATCTGGTTTCAACTATTGATGGATTTAGTTGTAAATCCTCACCAGATTAAACTTAATCTGAGTGTTTCAAAGAACTGAAATATATGTATTTAAGCAACAAGCTGCAGGAATAAATGTAAAACTTTAAGAATTCCTTCATTTTTAATTGGTTGAAAACAACATTTACCCCTTAATGCACTTCAGGTGTTAAGAGTTGAAGAGTGTTTAAGCATGATGATAGCTTATGTGTGTGTGTGTGTATATATATATATAAATCAACACAAAATCGGTGAAACAGCATAAACTCGAGAACCAGAGCTGGCCGTCAACTTGATCAAATCTGAGGTTAACTCAGATCATTTTTCACCTCAAACCCAGGAGAAACTGTCTCCTCCATGTAAAAACATATTTTTCCACCTGTCTGAAAGCGCTCCCTGCATATTTATATCTATACTTTGATAGGAGGATGGCGCTACGTTCACAACTGAGGGTGTGAGGGACCAGAGAGTTCAAGGTCTGCGTGTTTCGGAGAGGACTTGTCCCTGTGTTGGGAACCTTTAGTCTGGCCTGGGCGGCGTCCCTCTCGCCTCGCTGGCTGTCGGCCTGCCTCCGTTTCTCCTGCAGGTCAGCGCTCAGGGCATCGCAGCGGGACCTTAATCCCTCTTTCTCCTCCTCCAGAGCGCGCACCACCCGCTGCTCCTCCTCTTCCTTTTTTCTCTGCTCCGTCCTCATTTCCTACATAAAAACACCAACATGTGTGTGTGCAGGTCAAAGCAGACAAAAAAAAAACAACAGTGACAAAAGCAGGAAAAGAAAAAACACAGAAAAAGTAGCGGTTGAAGCTGAGAGAAGAAGCCCTGCAGAGGGAGAAAAGGAGCAGCGGCCCATGGGGTTGAGTCTGAAATGAATACATAAACAGCAGAGGCTTTGCTGCAGGAGGCCCCTGCATGGGCTGCTGATTAGCCAAGGTCATCTGCGCGGTACGACTGGACCCTCGTGACCAGGTGTTGGTTGGTATGGGCCGAGACGTGCTGCAGGAGCTCAGCTCATGCGGGTACAAGGGCCAGTCTGTCAGCTTTAATGACAGCTTATAATGAGAACGGTGTTTGCAACAAAACCCATTAGACTCAGCCCAGGTATCCTTTGATGATGTCCCCCACTATATCTCGCCAGGAGACCCCACCAAGACCATGTGAGGACCGCTTCGCTATTAATTAATCATAACCGTGTCCCACAGAAGCATAATTAGGGAGAAGTCACATCGTGGCGTGCATGCTTTTCAATTTCCCCAACTGAAGGAAGCATCAAATATTTATATCCGAGTTAAAACCCAGCTTTCCTTTGGTTACTTTATTCGATCACAGTCAGACTTTGAACTGTTAAGTATTCTGTGTTTCCAGGCTGTGAGACAATCCTTGCTGTCCTCTAAATGATTCAGAGGCCTGGGGGCTTCGTGCTGCATTCAAGGTACACTCCAAACAGAGACTTTGGTCCTGGGGGCCGCGCTGCCACAGGAAATCTGTTCCACCCACCTCCAGTTGCCGATTCTTGTTGTCCAACTCGGCACGCAGCGTTGTCAACTCCTTCGTTAAAGTACCGTCCTGCTCATCCGTCGCCGTCTTCTTCAGCAGCAGCCTCTTAATCTCCTGCTGCTGCCCTGACACTTTCTGCAGCAGACGGAGGAAAAGAAAAACAGCAGAATGCAAAACTGTGAAGCAAAGGAAAAAAAGATACCGCAGAGGAAGCAACTGAGTCCAATAAGAAAATAAAACAATCAGCAGAAAACCAGTTTATCACACAAACTTTCAAAATTTGATAAATAATTATAGCCAAAATAATGTCACAACTATTTATGTTTCTTTTATGCGCCACAAATCTGGAACAAACTTCCAAAAAACTGCCAAACAGCCGAAACACTGAGTTAATTTAAATCAAGAGTAAAGACCCGCCTGTTTAGTTTTGCCTTTGAACCATCATAACTGAATCAACATATTTGATGTGCATTAATGATGTTGATGATGTTTATTATCCAACTTGTGACTTTATGACGTTTTTGTGATGTTTTGTTTTTACGTTTTTATGATGTAAAGCACTTTGAACTGCCTTGTTGATGAAATATCCTATACGAATAAAACTGGGTGGTGTAGAGCTGTGTGGTGTAGAACTGGGTGATGTAGAACTGGGTGGTGTAGAGCTGGGTGGTGTAGAGCTGGGTGGTGTAGAGCTGGGTGGTGTAGAACTGGGTGGTGTAGAACTGGGTGGTGTAGAGCTGGGTGGTGGAGAACTGGGTGGTGTAGAACTGGGTGGTGGAGAACTGGGTGGTGTAGAACTGGGTGATGTAGAACTGGGTGGTGTAGAACTGGGTGGTGGAGAACTGGGTGGTGGAGAACTGGGTGATGTAGAACTGGGTGGTGTAGAGCTGGGTGGTGTGCTCTAACTTCCTGGTTTTAGTCAGAACACCAGCTGCAGCGTTCTGGATCTGTGAAGTAATCAATGCGACTAAAGATAAACACACGGATGAGTTTCTGTAGATCTTCCTGCGACGTCAGTCCTTTAATCCTATAAATGTTCGTCAGGTGAGTCTCTGAAAGAAGACTCCTTCACTTTCCCTTGATGTTTTTTAAGCTTGGACATATTTTAAAATAGTTCACTAAGTTTAAGAGACTCTGGTTTAAAACAGTTGGGAAGTTACACTATTCCACACAGTTAGCACCTTAAACTTTACCATTTATTCTTCTTATTCAACTTCACTCAAAATACCAATTAAAAAGGCACAAGTAAGATTATTTTACTGTGGAAGTCAATATGTTGTATTACTTCAGCAACAGTAAGAATACTTTTTCTTTTCTGTTTAAAACAATTACCAGAAGTCAGATGATAAAATACTGCTGCATGGTGAAGATGTGGCATTTTTATTTAACGTGATCAAACTTTGAGAGTCTCATATCAGCCTTTAGTGAAATTAAAAGTTCAATTAAAGAAAAACTAGCACTGACTCATAAACGGGAGCATAGATAGATATATAGATTCCCTTTTATTTAGATTGACTAGTGATGCAATGATCCATCAGCCACAGATTAAAATACTCAAATTTCCCTTGATCCACTCTGACCACTGGTTGTCAAGTCAAATACTGAAAAACAAAAATGATCATTTAATGCATGGAGGCTGAAGCTCCCAGACACATGCAGCCTGATGTACTTTTATACAGAAATGGAGACGTTCTAACTCCGTCAAGAAACTGGCAGCAGATTTCTTTTATGATTCATGTTGCTACATTTAATTCATGAATAAAAACTAAAACTACAAATTAGTTTGTGCAGGGCATCGATTAAGCAAATGATCTGTTTTTGAAGATCTAATACTTTTTTTACTTTTTTAAAAATCTGGATTTTTTTTCACAAATGGGTTTCCATAGAACTGGGTGTGTGTGTGTGTATGTACGTGTGTGTGTGTGTGTGTGTGTGTGTGTGTGTGTGTGTGTGTGTGTGTGTGTGTTATAGGGCTGAAGAAGATCTAAATTGGCAGGTCAGAATCAATATCGGCGCCTAAAAACTGGATCAGTGCAACTCTACAGCTAATTCTCACTCATGCGAGCGACGTTGTGCTAGCAGAGCTAAACAGAACCGTTTAATTAGCAAAGCTGAAGAGGCGGCTATAAAACAAGAGGAAAATCAGAGATGGCTTAATAATGCTATATGTTCCATTTATATTATTTTGGGAGGAGGATGGCTTCCTAACTGCATCGTCTGAAGTTCGGCGTCGGGTGGTAATCCATGGCTTTCTGTGGGTACATCTTCTCAAGAAACACGGGGCTCTGGGATGCAGTTAATTGCCATGTTGAGGGAATCTGCGTCCGCATATCAAGAAAGTAGATTTAGAGTTCCCTACTACTTCTAACTTGCAGAGAGAGGGCTTTAATAGAGATTTATACTGTAGAGCAGGATATCAATTCAAATGCTGATAATGAGATTGGCAAGAACAATTTCAACCTTAGCGGAGCTTAGTTAGGCGAGAAAAAACAAAACGGGTACCAAAGTCGAAATATCGAGGAGAGAAAGATCAGCTTTGGAAATTTCCCAATGAAGAATGAAAATCTAAACGAATTATGTCACAAAAAGCACGAGAAGAGAAATGGAAGAAACAAGGAGACAATTCAAGATCCCATGTGGATCCAGTGGACTATCGTGTCTCCAAGGAGGAGGGAAAGAAATCTGTGATGGAAGATGAATGTCAGAGAACAAGAGACACAAATCTCAGGTTTTATTGAGCTTTTCAAATGAAAAGAGCGTCTAAAAGCACAAAAGTTGCTTTAAACCAAAAGTTCTCCATAAAGTCTCCTGCTCCTCTGAGCCACTGTTATGGCTGCTAAAGAGAATAATGTCAAAAAGCACAGGCAGGCTGATGACTCCATTACGGCCCATCTCATTAAGAATGAATGGCGTTCCTCCATGAAGGACGCTAATGAAGGAGACACACAGCGGCCTCGGTGAAGGAATGATGTTAGAGCAGAATACACAACTGTCCTTATCACTGGAAATTATTAGCTGATTGGAAAAAGACAGCAGGCAGACAAACACAGCTGGGGAGACGCGTCAAAACATCTGTCAAGTTTGATTTACAATCTAGAAACATCATTTTTTTTAAATGATAGGACTAAAACTGAGTGCACAAAATTTTGATTATTTAAATAAAATTGCAAAAACTATTTTTTTTTCTTTTTTCCTGCTGAACTATAAATTAAACACACAATACTTTAATGAAACAACTAAATTAGTCTCATTTAAGTAAAAATAAAGGATCTAGACAGATGCAAAACGAAACACATCAGCATAAAATCTCCAAATTTTTAGGTTGGTTATATTTTTGTGTATATTTTCATCAACAAGAACAAGAAATAAGTCACACTTGTTTTATTTATGTACTAAAGTCTGTTTTTAGTAAACATCACGGTTCTATTTACTACTAAATTAAATGATAATAATAATAAATAAACATGGTTGATTTGTATTAGCATCATTTTTAAAAAGGCCTGGATACAGTGAAAATCGTAGCCTAACATTTACTTTTACATCTGAACCAACAGTCTGATGAATGAATTGTGGTTGAGGGCCAAGCAAACTCATCCTGAGGGTCAGAAATGAGCAAATAAAATGGTTTGATTTCGCTTCAGAAAGTGAGGAAAAAGGATTTTATGTGGTTTGTTTTGTAAACTTCAGTTGTCATCTGTAGTTTCATGCCGCTGCTCAGCCTAAGAAATGTCACTACAGGTTTCATCGGCTGTTCTTTACCTGTTCTAGGTCCTGGATCATGAAGTCTTTGGACTGCAGGATCTCGAGCACTTTTCTGTCCTTCATCTCAGTTTTCTGCTTCTCACTGTGAAAGAAAGTCAAGACAAAAACAACATCTTAGGATTGTTTAAAAACAAACTACTATCAAACTGTTTTACTAGGTTTGGCTCTCATCACTGTGAGACTTTGGAGTCACCCAAAACTTTTGTGAGTTTCCATGATCCAAATATCACCTTTTTAGTGAGTTTTGAATGAACCAAAAGAAAAAAATCTCTTCAGTTTGGGACCAGTTTGTTTCAACTGCTGTGGACCAATGGGAACAAACCCGTTAATTCCCAGATCCGTTGTTCCTCCTGCACCTCTGCCTCCAAGGCCTTTTCTTGTGATCAGCCTTCTCCGCTGGTCGGCGATGGAACAACAGTTTTTTTGTCCCGGGAGGGGAACGAGCACAGGCAGGCCTAGCTGCGCTTCCTCATATACGGGGCTGTGTTCGCCATGTCCTGAGCAACCAACCAATCACTCTACACGATCCGCACAGTAAGAGGAAGGAGGGATGAATGGCAGCTCCCACTGGGCACGGGCGCTTGACTGGAGTCGACACAATTACCATGTCAATATCCTCCCGCGCATTAGATTATACAATACACATACGATTTCTAGCTGCATGTTCCCCCGGCGGTCTCGGAGGACCGGCGCACTTTGATGGGTTTCCTATGGGGCAACAGGAAACTGGAAAGGGTGTGGAGTAGAAAATGAGAGGCAGAGGAACTGGAGGAACTCTGTGCATGCTGCTGTACACCGGGGAGGCCCAACTCCGGCCCTGAGAGCTGCTGCCCTGCATCCCGTCTCCGTCACACCGCAGTCAAACGGCTGAAGTTCATTCAGTCCTGCAGAGGCCACATTCTGATTGGTGTGTTGGAGAAAGGATCTAAGGGTGTTTTCACACCGAATAGTCCGGTAACATCTGTTACATTTTCAGCTGCTGCAGTTCTCTTTCACACTGCACTATATTAAACAAACCAAACCCTTAGAAAAACCAGTTTCCCTCCGTGCCTGTAGGGGCGCTGCACCAAGAACTACTGAATGAAACAATACAGAAACCTCTGAAGAAGACACTGAGCGCAACTTCCATCTTCACAAAACGTGAAGAAAAATGGAGTGGTGTCAGATTTTAGCGATTATAGGGTTTTTCTTTTGTCTTTGGCAAAAGACCATGAGCCATTAGAAACATGCGTTTGTTCGGCTGCTTTCACCCAGAATGCCATGCTCTGCGGTCAGTTTCCTGCTTTGGGAGCGGTCTCCGGTCCGCTTGGTGTTCACATAAGCATTCAAATCACATCAGAGTTCACTTCAACTGAACCCAGACGGAGGTTTTTAGATGGACCAGAGTTCGATTGCTCATTCACGCCTCCTCAAACGAAGCTGAGTTTCTAGTCAAACAACCAGGAGTTTGATTAAAGCGGATGACTCTTTGAAGATATTTGGATGATATGAATAACAGCAACATTTAATCTTCCTTTTGGAAACATAAAATATGTTTTTAATTTAATTGAATCAGTGACAATTAAAACACAATGAACAGGGATGTGAATTTTTAAAGTAAAAATGATAATATTTACTTGCCAGCTTCATCGGCTTGTTGCTTTTCAAAAAGTTGCACAATTTTTTTGCATTTATTTAATGTAAATACACACCGCAGTTATCACATTTTTTACTTGTCAACAATTTTGAAAGCCATACTAAATTTCTCTTCCAGATATGAAACAGTTTGAAGTTTGTGGCTGTAACGTGACAAAATGTTCCCTGGGAACGAAGTTTGTGGCTGTAACGTGACAAAATGTTCCCTGGGAATGAAGTTTGTGGCTGTAACGTGACAAAATGTTCCC